TTCATGTATATAATACTCATTTGATTGACAACAATTGGAAGTTACAAAAAAGAATTATTCGTTTTAAAGCTTTGGCACCTCCTTTTGATGGACTATCTTTAATAGATGAGGTGGCCATGTGCTTAAGCGAATGGAATATTGATCATAAAATTTTTAGCATAACATTAGATAATGCTAGTTACAATGATGTGATGGCTAACTCTTTGAAATTGATATCTTCAATACATAAATCTTTGGTGTGTGGTGGTGATTTTTTCAAAGTTCATTGTTGAAGCCATATTTTGAATCTTATTGTGTAAGCTGGTTTGAACATTGTTGATGATGTTGATTCCAAGATTCGTGATGGTGTGAAAAATATAAAGAAATCAGCTCTATTGGGAAGCATAAATTTTATAAACTTGTTGAAAAAAAGTTTTCACTTAAACACAATTAGAAGATTGAGGTTAGATATGTGTGTGTGATGGAATTCAACTTACTTGATGCTTGAATATGCCATTTATTATAAGCAAGTCATACAACATTAGGGGCAAAGGGATAATATTTTCAAAATGTTTATGTTTTCGGAAGAAAAATGAGAAAAAGTGGATAAGCTTTACAAATTCTTAAAGATTTATTATGATGTTACTTGCATGTTTTCTGCCACTAAGTACCCTATTTCAAACATTTACTTTAAGGAAGTGTGGATGATTCACAGACATTTAATGTTAGTGAGTAAGAAATCTCAGAATTTTATGACTAACATGGTTATAAATATGAAGGAGAAATTTGATAAATATTGGATTGAATATAGTATGATTTTGTCTTGTGCTGCTGTGTTGGATCCTCATTGCAAGATTAGATTAGTGGAGTATTGTTTTGATAAACTTTGTGGGAATGAAGCCGATGAGCATGTTAATGCTATAATTAAAACTCTCCATGATTTGTTTGATGAATACAAATAAAATTTTTCCTCCACCTCCTTTATTGGATATTCTAGTCAGTTTGACATGAGTAAGATAAATGATAATGGTGATGGGTTTGAGGATTATGAGCATTTTTTTTTAATTCAAAAAGAAATATTCAAAGTAAAAAACTCAGTTGGACTTTTACTTGGAGGAACAAAACCTTGATATCAAAGCAGATGTTGATGTTTTGGAGTATTAAAGTAAGAGTTCACTTAGGTATCCTGAATTGACATCAATGGCTCGAGATATTTGGCAATTCCTATTTACACAGTTGCATCCGAATCTGCATTTAACATTGAAAAGAATGTGATCAATCATTGAAGAAGTTCACTTAAATCCAAGACAATTCAAGCTTTGGTTTGTCTTGAAGATTGACTCCGCGCACAAGGCTTTGTATTAGGTAATTTTTTTATTTATTGTTTATTAAAATATATGATTCATTGAATTTTTTTTAATAGATTTTCCAATTGTATGCAAAGGAATCAAGCTTGTTAGGGGCTTCTTCAGGATCAAGCTTGTTAGAAGATGATGAAGGATCAAATAGTAGTGATGATGATAATGAAAATGTTGAACTTGATGATATGTTTTAGGTATTATAATAACATATATTTCCGTTATTTATTTCTCATTTGACATGATAACAAATTACACATGTGACATGGGTACTGAATTTATCTCTTATTTTCTTTTGTAGGATGGTTTGGAACTTGGAAGTTGAGATGTTCAATCTTGTTAGTGAATTCAGAAATGAATGGAGATGGCTAAAACATGTGTTTGTTTGATATGAACAATGAAGTGGTCTTTTATTTTAGTTTTTAGAATGACYTGGAACTTGAGAGTTGGAATATTTCATCTTGTTGGTGAATTCAAGAATGGATAGATAATATGTTTTATAGATTTTGTTTGTCTTATTCATATTTTTTTTTATGATTTTAGAGGAACATGAACTTGAAGTTATATGAATTTAGTTTTAATGTGTCATGCTATTTGTAGGAATATGAACCTATATGATTTGGTCTCATGTGTTTTATTTTTAGGTTTTCCTTGTCTCATATGTTTTATTTTAGGTTTTGCCTTGATTGTATAGAAACAAGCAAACAAGAGGGAATATATTAAATAACCTTAAAGAAGGTTGTTGATTCACTTGGTTGTAAGAAAAACGTGAAATTAAAATGGATTTTATGTAGGAGTTAAAATGGATTATCATATGTTTTATTAAATGTTTGCCTTGGTTGTATAGAAACAACCAAACAACAAGGAATATATTAAACAACCTTAAAGAAGGTTGTTGATTCACTTGATTGTAAAAAAAAAGAATAAAATTAAAATGGATTATGTCCATTTGAATATATTTTTTTTTATTTAAGAATGTAAAACGGTGTTTTAAAACGTAAAAGAAAGGGAAAAAAATCATATTGTAGGCCCGTTGCTCATTTGAATAGGGAAAAAAACCATCTGAATTAAAATAGATAATGTCCATTTGAATAGGGAAAAATCCCAATCTTTTATTAGGTCGGGCTTCAGGCTTTTTATTAGGGCCAAGCTTGAGCCTAATAAATTTCTATTCATGAAGAGTAAAAGCCCAGCCCAAGCTTGAGCCTACTAAGTACCACTCCTACATTGGTTGGTCGTTCTTGCTAATAGGAAATGACTCCAATATGATGCATGACCCTTGTGCAACCCAAGAGTCTTACACATCTATAAATGGGGTGATTCATGTATCCAGTTCATATGTTAACATACTTTACAACTACAAACAACGATCACCTTTTAATTGAATTTCTCTTTTCTTTTCTAGGTGGACAATGGAGCATAATGTTGTTACCCCTGTCATTCTTTCACAGAGGGATATGCTTAACTTGATATTCCATCAATTGAATGCCCAAGATGCGGAGTGGATTATGAGTGCCGGTAATGGCTTTTACCAGGAAACAATGGCTTTCGTTGTAGGTGGATATGAGGCATCATTTACTGGGGAACTCCATCCATCGCCCGACGTTAACATACAAACCACAGTTGCTTTGGCAATTTACCACATCAGAGAAGCCCACCATGTCTGTCTATGTGGTAGATATCACATTCACAAAATACCAACACGTTCATGGGCAAAGTTGAAACCTACAAAGAAATGTCAATGCCTTGATGTAGGAGAATTTGGCTTTGAGGTAGTAGATTATGGAATTTGGACGTGAAGTGACACAAATGAGGGCGTGTAAGCAGTGTTTCAAGTAATCACCTGTAATAGGTGGAGAACGATCCTCGTGGTTGCCTTTGTGCTACCGCGTATGGATTAGTCATAGCTATTAGCCGTATATTGTAATCAATAGGTGGATGGTCCCTTCCACACCCCCACTAGGGGTTTTAGGAACCCTCCTTTTAATATATTACTACGTGTATGTAAAGATCTTCAGTTGCAATGGACGTATAGAAATTTTAAATGGAAGTGGATGTGTATTGCTTTTACATGTGGTGCACCTGACATGTGCCAATTGGATTTATCTATAGGTATACGTGCCAAACTATTGTATAGAACGTCACCAAACAATAATGTCAACGTTGAGTTAAGATCTCGCAAAGTATATGAGTGAAACCACTTTGAAGGACAATGTAGAAATACCTAAATTAATAAAAAACACAACAATCTTCGCACTTCTCCATAAGGCTAGGGCTTCTTTGCCTCCCGCGGGGACCTTACCCCACGCCATAGGGGTGGTACCGCTGCCCATCTACCCCCTATGCTATTAATCTGGGACAATGTGTCAGAATTGGCAAAACCACCCATTGGGTGCTCTGGTGGGTGCTAGGTGTTCCGTGCCAACCAGACCCACACCCTCCTATTGCCACCCATGCATCAAGTATCCCAACCTATTATGCCTGTCCAACGGCCCAACGACTCGGATTGATAGTGGGAAATGATGGTTCTGCCAAAGCAGCATTTCCCACGTCGGCCTGCTCTATGAGCCTTGGGCTTCTCCGCCTCCTGTGGGTCCTCGGGGGAACCTCACCCCACGCAATGGGAGTGGTACCAATACCCATCTACCCTCGCACCACCCATCTAGCACAGTATGTTAGAATTAGCAAAACCACCCATTGGGCGCTCTGATGGGTGCAAAGGTATTCCATACTGACCAAACCCACACCCTCCTATTATCACTCACCCACCAAGTATCCTGACCTGTTCCACTCGTCCATCGGGCCAATGAATTGGACAGACGGTGGGAAATGGTGGTTTTTTGAAAGCCCCATTTCCCATCGTTGGCTTTCTCCATGAGCTCGAGGCTTCTCCACTTTTTGTAGGGCCCTCGGGGGGGATCTCACCCCACGTCGTAGGGGTGGTACCACCACCCATCTACCACATGCCACCCGTCTGGGACAATGTGTCAGAATTGGCAAAACCACCCACTAGGTGCTCTAGCGGGTGTGGAGGTATTTCACTCACCTACCAAGCATCGCAACCCATTCTATTCATCCATTTTCTATCAATGGCCTTCTCTGTGAGCCCAAGTCTTCTCTGTCTTTCGCGGGGCCCCTAGGGGGACCTCACCCCATGCTGTGGGGGTGATATTGCCCACCCATCTAGGACAACGTGTCAAAATTGGCAAAACCACTTATTAGGCGCTTTGGCGAGTGTGGAAGTGTTCCACGTCGACCAAACCCATACCCTCCCATTGCCACCCACCCACTAAACATCCCACCCCTTCCCCTCGTCCATCAGCCCAATGACTCAGGGCGATGATGAGAAATGATGGTTTTGCCAAAGCACCATTAGTCTTCTTCGTAAGCCTGAAGCTTCTCTCTCTCTCGTAGGGACCTCACCCCACATAGTGGAGGGTGGTACCGCCACCCATCTACCCCACGCCACCGGTCAAGTAGCTTATAAACGATATTCAAAAATCCATATTCAAATTTGAGATTCAGCATAATCGAATCCAATTTGGATAATTTGAATCGGATGTTCGATCAAATTCGAATACCAATTTTCTACCATTTAATTATCGGATCGAATTCGGATCTGCATTGATCCGATCCGATAAATATCAGAATTTTGTAATTCTCGATTTCTCGATTCTCATTGAATCAAACGAACGTGAACTGATGAACATTCGAACCTCTCCTCCGGTCTCCATCTCCTTTCAAACCCTAACCCTCCCTTCTCCGTCGCCGCCCGAGCAACCACCGTCACCGGCCACATCAGCGATTCGGCAGTCGAAAGTCGAGTACCGTTCGCTGGCCACCACCCCTATTCCTCTGCCTTTCCTTGGTTCTCTCTCGTCTTTCATCTTCTCCTCTATCAAGTCTCGACTCAGCATTGCCGCCGCCCGAGAAACCACCATCACCGACGGAAACGTCAGTGACAGCGGTCGAGCACCGGTCACCGGCCACTATCGTCTCCTTTGACGCTGCTCGACGCCTCAAGGCCTTCAACCCAAGCTAATATTGCGAGAGTGCCATTGTGCCAACAGTCCAGCATCACCGGCCGGGAACGCACGACTGTCGCCGTCACACACTCACATTGGCCCACCGCCTACAGAGTCTACTGTCTACGATCTCCATTGCAATCCCCTGCCTCTTTTATAAGGTAAGTTGATTAATTGATTTCTGAACGATGCTGATGAAGAATGTTCATTTTTATAGAATAGATTACAGATAATTTAGAATAATGATTTTATGGTTAATGGTTATGCTAGTATGCTACATACTTTTTTATGCTAATGCTAACATCATTTGATTTAGATAATGGTTTATTGGTTTCTAGTTATGAGTTAGATAATATCATTCCTAAATGGTTTATTGGTTTATTGATTCTCAGTCACAAATGAGAGGCACCTCATTAGATTTTTCAGCTCAGCTGTAGAGATGGTTATGTTTTGCTACTTTGATGAATATGGTTTGGACTATAATCTAAAGTAGTCAAGCAACTTATGTTTCTCCTTCTTCTGAAGTATTCAATAGAAAGGGATATGATGGGTCCAAAGCTGACATTTGGTCTTGAGGGGTGATCCTATTTGTTCTATTGGCCGGATATCTTCTATTCCGTGATCCAAATCTGATGGAGATGTATAGGAAAATTGGTAGAGGAGAATTTAAATGCCAATGTTTGTTTTGATATCATTTCATGAATGGCTGTGTTTGTTTTGATATCATTTCTCTTTCAACAGGATTTAGTGTATATATTTTCAAAACAAGAGAAGAAAGGATTATAATGGCTGTATTTGTTTTGATAGAAAATAAGAGAGAAGTAGGAAATTGAAAGAAAGCTCTAAGGAATTTTGTGGGGTTTAATTATAAATATACAAGAAAACTAAAACCATGTATTAGAAGAAAAATTAGAAGCTTAGAATCGGTTAAATTTCAAAAGTTGTCTGTTGTAAAACAGTCAATCAAATCAGATTCGAATCAAATCTGATTCATATTCGAAAAGTGAAGTTATCAGTTGAATTCGAATTGAATGAATATTTGATTTGATAATCAAAATTGAATTCAAACTGAAATATTTGATATCCTTCGGATATTGAATCAAATTCGAATATTATTATTCATAATCTGTTTGAATTTGAATTTAGCTTGATTCGGTTCGAATTCGATGTGTTTATATGCCTACCGTCTAGGACAATGTGCCAGAATTGGCAAAACCACCCATTGGGTGCTCTGTCGGGTGCGGAGGTGTTTTTTGCCGACCAAACCCACACCCTCTTATTGCCACTCACCCACTGAGCATCCTGACCTGTTCTGCTCGTCGATTGGCCCAACTGCTCGGACCGGAGGTGGGAAATTGTGGTTTTGCCAAAGCACCGTTTCCCATTGTCGAACTTCTCCATGAGCCTGGGGCTTCTCTACCTCTTGTGGGGCCCTCAAAGTGACCTCACCCTACGTCGTGGGGGTGTTATCACTGCCCATCTACCCCCGTGCCACCTGTTTGGGACAGCATGTCAGAATTGGCAAAACCACCCATTGGGCGCTCCGGTGGTGTGAAAGTTTTCCGTGTTGACCAAACCCACACACTCCTATTGCCACTCATCCACCAAGCATCCCCCCTTTTTGTCCATTCATTGGCCTAATGGTTTGGACCAATGGTGGGAAACGATGGTTCTACCAAAGCATCGTTTCCCACCGTCAGCCTTCTTAGTGAGCCTAGGACTTCTCCACCTCCTATGGGTCCCTTGGGGGCCTCACCCCACACAATGGGGATGATATCGCCGCCCATCTATCCCCCGTGCCAGCCATCCGGGACAATGTGTCAGAATTGGCAATACCACCCACTGGGCACTCCAATGGGTGCGGATGTGTTCTGTGTCGACCAAACCCATACCCTGTAGCCACTCACCCATCGTCGGCTTTCTCTGTGAGCTTGGGGCTTCTTTGCCCCCCACAGGGCCCTCGGGGGTGACCTCACCCCACATTGCGGGGGTGGTACCGTTGCCCATCTACCCCCATGCCACCCATTCGGGACGTATCAGAATTGGAAAAACCACCCATTGGGAGCTTCGGCGAGTGCGGATGTGTTCCGTTCTGACCAAATCCACAACCTCGTACACCAAGCATCCTGCCCCCTTCTGCCTGTCCATCGGCCCAATGGCCTAGATCGATGGTAGGAAGCAATTTTGCCAAAGCACCATTTTCCACCATTGCACTTCCCTGTGAGCTTAGGCTGCCTCCACTTCCTATGAGACCCTCGGGGGGACCTTACCCCACATCGTGAGGGTGGTACTACCACCCATCTACCCTTGCGCCACCCATCCAGGACAACATGTTAGAATTGGCAAAACCACCCATTGTGCGCTTCAACAGTGCGGTGGTGTTCTGTTTTGACCAAACCCACACCCTCCTATTTCCACTCACCCACCAAGCATTTTGCCCCCTTTCGCCTGTCAATTGGCCCAATGGCTCGGACCAATGGTGGGAAACGGTGGTTTTGCCAAAGGCACTTGGAAGGCTAAGTATGTGTTTGGTTCCATGGGCAACGTTTATTTGTACTTTTTCACTTTAAATGTTTTTTGTTTTGTTGTTTGGTTGTGTTTCACTTTAAATGTTTTTTTCTCTCCACCTTAGATTAATACCCATTAAAGTGTTCCACATCAGCATTTGGTTTCAAGAAATGCTAAGGCATTGAGTGAAACAAGAATTTGACGTTTCCCCAAATGCCCCATGCACAAAAATAAAAGTGTTTCAATTTTCTACCATTTATTTGATAAATAGTGAAACCAAACAATTGTTTCATTTTGCTTCATATGCAATAAATGTCAATGCCTATGTGGCGTTGATGTGGCGGTGTTTTTTCAATAAACGTCCACGGAACCAAACACAACCTAAGTATCGCAAAACTGATATTTCTTCTTAGGGGCAGAACTCTTAGATGGATTTACAAATATTTCTAGGGATAGTTAAGTTATTTTAGTGAACAAAAAATAATCTTGTAAAATGTTAGATTAAAATGACTCAAGTCCACCATTAATATGAATTCCATTACAACAACATGCCAAAAAAGTTCGCCAGAAATAGGGAAAGATAAGTTAATCCAACACAAAAATGAAGGGGGGTGGGGGAAGTGTTCTAAGACAACCTTAAGACTACTGAACCAATGTAATGACCTATTATTTATAGAAGACTAGTGAGAGGAGAACAATAACAAAAAGAACAAAAACAAGTTGCCTAATTATAGCCATCCCTTTAACAGCTAGCTAGTTGATGGGCTGATTTCATGGATTCGATCTACCCCCGACAAACATCCACTACTTTCTCCAAATATCGAAGGCACTCCACAACATTTCTATGACTATTTGCCAATGTAACCTCATCTAACCAGCTGTGAGGAATCGCCTATTCAAAAAATTTGCAACTGCCACCCAACTCATTTTTCGTCATTGATTTTTCAAACAACTGCTCTGAAAGTGCGACAACACATGTCAACTCTAATCTACATACCTTACAGCAATACTAACAAATAATATCAACCCACTGAAATATTACCTTAGATTTTAATCGACAACTATAAAACAACTTCGAATTATTGGGAGTTGTTGAAATTCGAAGGATACATTTTCGTTTGCGATAGCAATACTTAGTATCACATTGTAAGCTATTGAGGGATTTATTTCCTTTTAGCCTAAAACAAATGCTGTCTATGAGTTCCTTGCTTAGCCAACCCATTTGCAGACCTCCTAACCCATCTTATATGGGTTTGCATATCTCTTGATATCATCTTGAATCTTCTAAGATCATTTCTAAATTGTCATAGAACTCCTTCTTTTTCCAACTAGCCAACAACTATTTTGGAGTCCCCTTCAAGAATCAGCCTAGTAATTCCCATATCCTTAGCTTTTTGCACCCCAAGAATAGCATCCAAGAATTCACCTTAATCAATAGGACCTGAATACAATCCACATATATTCCTATTCTCATCTCTGAACACTCCAATACCAAAAGGTATTGGGGTCTTCTTAACTAGGACCGAACTAGCAATTTCTTTCCATTTTCTTAGCAAATCATCCACTGAAAAAATTTGTAAACAAATCCAATGATTTCAGTCAATGTATCACCTTTATGTGAACCACTTGCACAACTTCTAAACTTCTCTCCTTAGCCAAAATAATCCTTGAATTTCTTTCTTCCCATAAAGTTCAGACAAACAACAACTTGAACACATCTCCACATAATCCTTCCCCATTTTTGTTGGTCGTTTTAAGGAAGTGGAAGCAAACAAGCTTTGCATGTTCGGTGGGGGAGTCCACCATCAGCTTTACAAAGAACACACTTGTGAGGAGATAAACATCTACTGGGTCTCTTTGTTTGAAGCAAATTTCCTATGTCGACTCTTTCCAAAAAAGCTTCCCAACAAAAACTCCCAACCTTTGGTGGGATAGGTTGACATCAAACTTCTTTAATATGGCATGACAAGCATCACAAGCCAAGAGGGACAATCGGTTGAGTTAGGGTTTTAAAGAAGGAAGCACAAGTAAAGGAGCTTAAAGGAGAGGGGGGTCCAAATTCTATTGTTTATCGTTGTGGGTTCCAAGAAAACCCCATCAAGGATGGTCAAGAGAGTCAAAGTACTATCCAGTTCTGTGTCCATGATAGCTCTTCTCAAACCCAATTTCCATCCAAACCCAAAGTTCAAGTTAGAGGGTACAAGGAAAGTGGAAACCAGTTCATTTTTAAAGGTACAAATAGAAAAAAGGGTTAGAAATTGGTCTTTCAAAGGAGAATCACCAACCCAAATTATTATTCATATATCTTGTAGTGGATTTATATTAGAGATGCAAATTGAACTTATCCATAAAAGCAAAATTATCAACCACATAGGACCTACGATATGTCAGGTTGCTAACTATAATTATGATGAAGCAAAATTGTTATCAAACAATATTATATTCTGAATACAACTTAAAAAAGCAAAAAAAAATTAAAGTCAGACTAGAATGCCTACTGACTGAACACTGATAAACAAACTTTCAGATAATGTAAGAAAATCCACCTTGGAACTGATTTAATAAAAATTAAAGCTGGAAGATGAGTGTAGTCCCAACAATATATCCAAAAAATGAGTGAAAAAGAATGCAAATATTGAGATGAATGAAAAAA